CAAAAAAAAAAAATACAATTAAAGCACGAAAATAGGAGGAAACAGAAGTTAATACCAGGAAATAAAACAATAAGAACACACATAATGAAACACTTTAAACCTTATAAAGCCAGCACGGTAATCTTTAAATCTGTTTATTTTAACACTTCGGCTTCTGTCTTTAAAACTCCGAGGAAAACCTTTAGACCTGCAACATATATGTGTGTTGTGTGTGTGTGTGTGTGTGTGTGTTGTTTTTATTTCTTGTCCTTTTTTTTTTTTTTATCGCAGAAATCCTGTTGCTGGAAGGACAAAAAAGGAGACTGGAAAATGCTCACAATTCAGCGATTACTCTTTTTTTGCTTTTTCAGCCGTTTCGGGGTTGTTACGTTTGTTTTCCGCACGTCCTTGCAGAGAAAAATGCAGAACTCCTGGGCGCTCGGCCCCTGGAGCCGGCGTCCGCTGCGGGGAGAGCGCGCCCCCAGCGGCCGGGCCCGGAACAGCGGCCTGGGACCTGCTGCCGAACCTGAGGTTTCTCTGTGCCGGGGAACGGCGCCATGTTGCAGAACTGCGCCGGATCCCTCGGACGCCCCGGCACACAGTGGTGTGACGTGCTGTCTTGGGAGAGGGGTGGACGGTGTGAAGGATTGTTCAGCGTCATCTCAAGTAATCCACTCACAATCGCCAAAGCTCTCTTGAGCCTAGCGTAAACGGAAAAGCAGAAGTCCTGCAGAGTCCAGCAATCTCGTTTCTGGGTGTGTAGACGGACCCTCGAGGGGCTGCGGAAGCACCCACATTCTCCGCGTCACTACTCACGATGGCCACGAGGACACAACCCAGACGTCACCACCAGGTGAATAGTGCACTGTGCGGGGCGGAGACACAAGCCTCTCCCGGGCACTAGCACAGAGGTGAGCCTGTAAAACAGTGTCCTCCGCCTGTAGGTCTCGACAGACCCCCTCTGTGGCAGCCACGGGCGCCTTGAGGGAGCCACTCTAAGGCCGAGTGTGTACTGCTGAGGCCGACTCCTCAGAGCACCCTTGGCCCACACTCTTCCTCAGAGCCCCTCTTGCCCACACTGCTCTGACAGCTCACTCTGGCCTCTCCCGTGCTGCCCCAGCCTCTGCGGACCGCCCCAGCCCTCCGCACCCAGGCCGGACAGAAAGCACCCTACCCTCGGCCGTGAGGACTGCCAACTCCCTTGTCCACCCTTTTCTGGATCCTCTTTTCGTTTTGTTTTTAGTCAGTCCATCTCGTGTGCATTTCTCTTTCACTGCAGCATTAATCTCAATAAACAGTTCCTCTTAGGTAGTCTTTGCCTAATCGTGAGTCTTCATTTTTGCCTTTACTATTTTTGAGTCTGATGTACAGTTACAACATTTCTGTTCTCTCTCCCCCTTCAAACTCCCGCATGCCCTCCTTGACCTCCTTCACCTTCACAGCATCTTTTTTCCTCAATTGTTAATATATATATATTCCTAAATATAAGTTGCTCTAGCTATATGATGTTATGTCATGTTTTTAGGGTTGACTACTTGATAACCAATGAGTTAATACGCTCCTCCCTGGAGAAAACTGTGATCCTGTTCTCAGAGTTTCTTACTTACTTGTCTGTAGATCTTTGTGTAGAACTGACCTTATGCCCAAAGGCCATGTAGTCTTCATGCCCCATCAGGGAAATTTCTCTTTGCGACAGAGGCCACTGTATGATGCCACAGCTAATTAAAATGCAGAGCCGCAGAGCCGTCCAAAGGACACACTCGCAGCACACTGCCACACCTGAGGCTCAGGGAACACTGTAGAAGAGGGGCCTGGAGGACCAAGAAGCAGAAGAACTTGCTGTGACATTGTGTCTCCTAGGAAAGTCCACAGCTATCCGGGAACGTCTCACTGGTGTGCCTGCCTAAACAGGGACAGGGCAACACTGAAAGACGTACTGGAGAGGACGGGGAAAGACCAAGAGGGTTCAGCCCCTCACAAAGTTTTCTTTTTAAGTAGAGTGGGTTGAGCTGATAGATCAGAGACAAACAAACAAAATTAAAAACAAACACACAAAAACCCAAAATGTTAGTAGCAGTGAGAAGGAGGAAGAAGCCTGTCAGAATGACGGGGCTTAGAAATGACGGGAATAAAGATGGAGGAGACGACAAGTAACGACAGAAATGTAGGATAGGTAGGAGAGGACAGACAGACAAGGAAGAAGAAATACAGACATCTGTGAAAAGGCAGCGCTAAGAAACTATGGGTGCTAGCGCTGGAAACATCTAGGAAGCAGTCAAGCATTGCTGAATTCTCTAGAGGAACAGAACTTATAGAACGAACACACACACACACACACACACACACGCACATACATATTGCTATGGTCTTAGCTAATCTCACAAGGCTGTCTATCAACCAAAGGTCCAAGAACCCAGCAGCTGTTCAGGGCACAGGCTTGATGTTTCAGGCCAAATGTTTCAACTGGCCTCCAGTGTGTGTCAGAGTCCTGAAGAAACAGCCTCAAAGGCCAGCGAAGAAACAGATCGGGAAGCAAGGGTGAGAGCCAGCAGGCCAAGAGGGAGCTTCCCCCTTCCATGACCTTCACAAACGCCACCACTAAAGGTGTGGCCCAGATTAACGGTCTTCCCGCCTCAAAATATTTAAGAAGAAACCTCACACGTGTCCCCAGCCACAAACAGCACCTGTGGGCCGAGGGTCCTAACACCCCAGGTCTGGCAGCAAGCCCCTTGGCCACTGTAAAGAGCCAAGGACGCAGCAGCTGGACCAGGGGGTGCCGCGCTAAGGTGGAGAGCCGCAGTGCCCACGTCTCCCCGGGGCTGCGACCCTAACAGGCGCCAAGACTGCACTGGACCGCAGTTGTGCCAGTGGCTTCGTGGAGTGGCCGCTCTCCCTCGCTCTCAAGTGTCCGGCCGTTAGCGTCTAGAGGGGCAAACTAGGCTGAATTGGAAGCCTCTGGCTTCTCGTGCCTGGAACTCTAACCACTAGCTTTTGGGATTCGGAGCCCTAAGCCCCTGTCTGCCAGCTGTCCAGCATCCAAGGGCCCAGGCTACCAACACTGGAGGAACTGCTTCTTGCCAACACCCGGTTCCTGTTCAAGTACATCAAGAGAACCCTGTCCTGCCCGCAGGCAATAACCCCCAGAATGGACTGTCATTCCGGAACTGTTGGAAGGAAATCCTGTCACGTCTGACTGCATGGATGAACCTTGAAGGAACTCTGCAGACACTCCGCTAAGTGAAACGAGCCAGTCTTAAAGGCACATGCTTCACGTTGCCACTTATATGAGGGAAACGGAGAATAAACTGGTGATGCCCAGGTCTAGGATGGGGGAAAGGGGAGCTACGGCTCAGCGTCTTGTGTGGTTCTGTAGACTCATTGCAAGCACTGGGTGTGTGGTCAGCCCCGCTGAGTGTGCCGTTGAGCTGGCCAAGACTGCAAATATTTCCCCAGCCTGTGGGCTGTGTCTTCGCTTCTCCTCTGGTCTGCTGCAATTCCGTTTGCCCATCTTTATCTTTGTCTGTTGCCTAACCTCTCAGGGTCATACCCTGATGCCTTTGCCAAGACCAATGTCACGAAAGCTTTCCTGTTTTCATTCAGCAATTTCCTAGTTTTGGGTTTTGTGTTTAAGTATTTAGCTTGCTTTTGAGTTTTTTGTTTGTTTGCCTTTTGGTTTTTGTTTTGAGGCAGGGGTGTGTGTGTGTGTGTGTGTGTGTGTGTGTGTGTGTGTGTGTTGCACAGAGGCAGAGGTTCACTCTGAGTGTCTTCCACAAGCTCTCTCCACCTTGCTTTTTTGAGCTAGTCTCTCTCACTAAACTCTTACCAATTTGACGAAACTATCTGGTCGGCCCCCGCCTCCGCCTCCTCAGCACGGGGTTGCAGGCTTGTGCCGCCATACCTGGCTTTTTACAAGCTTCCGGAGACCAAACTCAGGTCCTCATGCCTGCGTGGCCAGGTGCTTTACCAGCTACGCCATCTCCCCAGCCTCCGCGTCCCGTTTTCCTGCACACACACACACACACTACACACATTGTACGGCGGGGAAAGGCCTTAAGCCTCTCTAGCTGGTTAGAGCGAGTTCTGCAGGTGGCTGTCCTGCTTTCAAGGTTCGTTTATCAGAACGCTCCCCCCTAACCTGGCGCTTCCCTGAGAGCAGCCAGCTGTGGTGTGGACTTCTTTCCGGCGCTGCATTCTGCCCGCAGCCCGACGCCCTTCTTTTTGCCGTCGCTGCGCTGCTGTGACTCTGAAGACAGTGTAATGGCCCCCGCTTCCTTTAACTGTCATCTATTTGGGCTGTCCAGGGTTGTTTTGTGTTTGTTTTTGAGGCACCATAAGAGAGTTTCAGAGTTGTTTGAGAGTTTATGGTAGTTTTTCTAATTCTGGGACTTAGTGTCACTGATACTCTGATAGTCTGCTTTAGTCTGCAAACTGCTCTCCGCAGCATGGATGTCTTTAGTGACGGTAGGTTTTTAACCATCCATGAACATGGACTATCTTTCCATTTTGTCATGTCTAATCTTCAACGTTGTACGCTCAGTGTTGCACACTTTCACCTGGACAAATATTTCAGAGAAGTTTATTTTTAGGTACTATTTTCTGGGAATTGCTCTGTTTGCTTCATTTCACATAACTGACACTTGAATTCGGTTCTACTGATTTGTGATCTGTGCAACGCAGCCTGGCTACACTCTCGTTAGTTCTGAACGGTTATTTTTGGTGAAGTTATTGGGGGTTCGATACAGGCTCATGTCACCCGCAAACAACGACTAGTGGTCTTTCCATATGGATTCCTTCAGTCTCCTCCCGCCTGCTGGGAAGCCGAAATTAAAAGCCATTGTTAAAAGCCACGATTCTCGGCTTTACTGGGCGCCCTCAGCCATGACCAGCATTGTTTAGCTTGTGGACGTTTAAAGAAACCCTGAGGAAGGAATTTTTGTTCTAGAAAACAACATCCTTATTTGTTCCCCTTATCTGAATAAAAAGGCAAGGGGGAAAAAAAAGTCATTTTCTCTCACCTTCCCTCACTCTACATAAGCAACTTTATTGTTTAATCAGATTTGTTTTTAATGTATAAACCACATCCTTTGGGGAAGAGAGGTGGGTGTCGGGGTTCAGGGCTAAAGAAGCTGGCAGCGAGGTTGACAGAGTTAGGCGGCTACGGAAGGTTCCAGATTATGAGATACATATGGGTGGTCGCTGTGTGCGCTCCAGAATTGCGGCGGGGAGCTGCCTGCTCCCAGAGGGTGGGGGAGGACACGACTATGAAGATACAGACAGCGGCCTCCTCCTCCTCTCAGATGGTCACGCTGTTTTCCACCATGCTGGGTCGGAGGTACTCAGAGGGCAGGTCCAGGTCAGCATTCTGGACCTCCATCTCCTCGTCCATGGCAGCCAGCTCCTCCCGGAACTGCTCCAGCACGGTCCGGGGCTTGAGCCCTGAGAAATACTCCTCCTCGTGCTGCCCTAGGGCCACCTGTGGTGGGGGGAGGGACAAAGCAGTCAGGCCCTGGGCACGCTGCCCTCCCCACGCCCGGGCATCTGCGTCTCACCATGACGGGCTGGCGCCTGCCCAGGAACTTGATGAAGGTCGTCTGCATCTGAGCCTGCTGGAGGGAAGGCAGCGAGTCTATGATGTCCTTCTCCATCATGTCCTTGGAGGTGGGCGGGGGCTTGTGCATGGTGCAGGGGCCGTTGGGAACCCAGGAGTACCAGTCCAGCTGCAGGTGGAAGGGCTCAGGAACCGGGCGTTCGGCGCTTCTCCCCGCCTCCTCCGTCCCAGGGTTCCCCCGGGGACCGGCCACACTCGGTACCTGACCCAGGTGGGTAGAGGAATGCTGGCCAGTGCAGGTGAAGACGCACATGGCAACAAAGTGGCCCAGCTGAGCCCGGGTCTCCAAGGACCCGGGGAACCTGGGCAGAGGAAGGAGGTCAGGTCCGAGACCCGAATACATGCATGCTCACGCAGGCAGAGCTCACGCAGGCAGAAATATCTGGAGATACGTGAGGGCCTGGATCCGGTCACAGCCCCTAGAGCCTACAGTCCACACACAGCCTGTACCCGAAACCGACGTCTGCAGAAAGGCACAGCCAGTCGAAATGCAGAGCTGCGGAGCCCCAGCCCAGTGGGTGATCTGTAAAAACAGCCCCCAAACCCAACGCTCGGGGTCCTTCTGGGGGAGCCGGGACTGTGTCTCCTAGGGAAGTCCGAAGCCGAAGACACACACCCGCAGTGTCACCGGTATGACCGCCTAAACGCGAGCAGACAACAGACACGCCATCGTGGAAGCAGAAAGACGGGATGCCTCAGCCCTACACAAAGCAGCCAAGGAACGCCGGGAGCTGAAGACACGGCGTTCCCCCGGGAAGAGCACGCTGACTGGCCACCCAAGAACGAACGGGCAGCCCTGAGGCAGAAACATTTAACACTCTACAGACCGAGAAGGGAGTGTTTGTATTCTAACAATCCGTGTATGTGTGTTCGTATGTACTCATACATGTATGTAACAACAGTCAGTGGATTTGAAAAAGAACAGGGAGGGGTATTTGTGAGGGGTTAGAGGGAGGAAAAAGAAGGAAGGACATAATCCCCCAAAATAAAAAGTTCTAATAACAACAATAAATAAATAAAGCTGATGCAGCCTTGAAGCTACTGGAAAGGTAGGGATAAGCGAGAGGAGACATCCAAGAGAGACAACAGTTCGGGCTCCAGGGAGGGCCCCGTGTGCATGAGGAGAGAAATTCTGCAAGAGGAGGAGGAGGCGGAGGAACTGCAGAGACCAAGGGTGAGTAGCAGGGCTTCCGGAGGCAGCAGGGAAGTGTCTCTCCCAGCAGCTGAGGGCTGCTGACGGAGGCGGGGGGGGGGGGGCGGGGAAGATAAGCCTAAGGGCCTGTGCCTTTCCCCCCCCCCGCCTGTGCCCCAAGCAGCCCGACCTCAGTGACCTCTCTGCACCAGGCCTGCAGCTCGTCCTTCACGTTCATGTCACTCTTGTAGAAAAGCTCAACCATCCTCTCCACATACCTGGTCCCCAGAGAAGAGGGCACTCAGCCTCAGACCCCGCTGGGGCCTTTAGGGTCTGCTGTCCCCCACCGCTCTCTCTCCCTCTCTCCCTCTTTCTCCTCCCCCTCTCTTGCTTCCTCTGTCTCTGTCTCTCTCTCTCTGTCTCTCCCTCTCTCTCCACCCCCCTCTCCCTGTCACCCTCACCAGCTGATGATGCCCCATAGCCTGAGGGCGTCCTGGGCATACAGAGAAGACTTCACATCCGAGAGCCCTCGGTCAGCCAAGTCATCCGGAGGGCAGAAGGAGCGGTAGGTCAGGCAGGATGTGGCTCTCTGGAGGATGTTCACATGGCCTCCACTCCCTGTACTCACCACCTGAGGACAGAGCAGGGCTAACCAAGCCAGATGACAGAGAGAGGGAAGCCAGGGCCAGCAGGTCACTCCAGAACGAGGCAAACGAAGGACAGCTTGCCCGTGTAGAGCGGGGTGCGGGGAAGATTGGGGGGAGCCTTGAGAGACTCCCAACACGGAGCGTGCCTCCCTCTTCACCCAGCCCTCTCCATACCAGATCAAAAATCCCCCATTCAGAGACAAGATTGTTCCTCGCCAGGGTGTTGATCTCCTTAGTGTATCAAAAGTGCGGGACAAGGAGCTGGTTGTAAGGGAAAGAAATGAGATTCAGTCAAATAAAGAAATGGCAGGGTCCATAGGGCAGGGGGATGAAGGACCCGTGGAGACAGAGACAGAACTATCTTCTCAAAGCCCCCCAGGGGCAAGGTTCAGGGCTCCACAACTTATTTGTATAATCCTGTGTAATCACTGATGTCAGGCCACAGCGCCCAGCGGGATCCTGGGATATGAATGAATCCCTTGGCCAGGACTCCTAGCCTCTGTCTCTGCCTCCCTCCCTCTCTCCCTTCCCTTCCTGGGGGGATCCTACCCTCTCATTTCTCCTTCCTGGCTAGCTTCCCGGGGAGTCTGTACCCCTCAGACAGGTGCCCGTCAGCCCACAACCAGACTCCAGCAGCTGGGCTTCCCCAGGCAGCGCTTGTCAGCAGAGTAACCAATCATCCACAGGGATGGAGTGGCCTCCTCTGCCAGCTCCGACTTCCCAGACGAAAACCAACCTCTCTCCTCCCAGTTCTTTCTCTCCTGGTGCCCCGACTCACACTCTCCCCCTTCTATTGCTCTTCCTGGGCCCTGCCTCCTCCTCTCTCTTTACAGAGTGAAGCTAGCTAGAATTAGCTCAGGCTCCGAGGGCTGCCCCGGCACCAGGCCGAATCCTAGGTGATGTCCTCCTGTACACTGACTTCGGGTCCTTCCGGCTCCTGCTGCCTTCAGCCCCTCCCTCTCCTGATGTTCTCAGGTCAAAGCACAGCTCTGGCTTCTCTGCAAATTCTGCCACTTCTTTTCCGGTCCTCTCCCACCTTCCTCCTCCTCCTCAGCGTGCCATCACCTTCTCATAGTTCAGGGATACCTGACAGGAAACCCTCCTGGCGCCACAGCTCACCCCTTCCACCATGCCCCACACTTCTCAGCTTCTCAGGAGGCCCATCGACAGCCTCCTCAGTCGGAAGCTGAGTCTTACTCTTTTCTCAGCTCTTAGCAAGAGTGTGCCTCCGGGTTTCCATAGCAGAGGTGTGTGTGTGTGTGTGCGCGTGTGTGTATTTGTCCACAAAGAAGCTAAGATGGCTGCCCCACCTGCTAACCAGCAGCCCCTGAGGTGGGGTGACCTGTGGCAGCAGAGGCCCGGCGACCACACCCTGCCACACCTTGTATATGGTTGCAGGCTGGGCAGGCTCCTCATCGTGGCCAGAGATGACCTCAGCCATGAGATGTCCCCTTAGCAGGTGTGACTGTAACTCCTGCAGCTGGAAATCAGAGCTTTGGACCCAGATCTTGGCCAGCAGCCAGGCCATGGGAGGGTCCGGGGGCAAGAAGAGCAGAGGTGGGGAGCATGTCGAGGGGCTGGAGCTGGAGCAGGAGGGAGCGAGGAGCTGAGGCCCCAGGAGGCTAAACTCCAAAGGGAGTCAGTGTGAGGGGACATGGCTGTTGGTGTGAGGGGACGTGGCTGTCGGTGTGACGTGGCCGTCGGTGTGAGGAGACGTGGCTGCGCACCTGGATGGCCATGGGCAACAGCCTCCTGTCGGGCTGCAGCTGCAGCAGGACCAAAGGGGCCATCACATCCTGCTGCTTAAAAATGATGGTGTTGGGCAGCGAGAAATCGGCTTCAAACAGAGACCCAGCCTGTGGCATGGGGGGGCATGGCAGACAAAGAGGTGGGTCCCCCTTCTGTCCCCAACAACCTTACTGCTCTCCTGAGCTAAAAGTGCTGGTTGTACGGTCTGTGCCTTCTTCCCTGCGCCACGTTCCCGGCCTGTGTCCTCACACACCCCACAGGCTGTGGCACAGCCTGCTCCTTCACTCCCTCCACCAAACAATTCGGCTAATTTCAAGGCCATGCTTACTCCTCCTCCCCCTCCTCCTCTCCCCCTCCTCCTCCCTCTCCTCTCCTCCTCCCCCTCCTCCCCTCTCCCTCCTCCTCCTTCTCCTCTTCTCCTCCCCCTCCTCCCCTCCCCTCCCCCACAGAAGCGTCTGGGCACCTCCAGCGCCTTCTCCAGCTCGCTGTTCAGGGCTTCGGTCTCGGAGGCAGGAGCGGCCGCGCGGGAAGGCCCTTGGACCGCCTCAGGAGCATGGGGTTGGCCCCGTTGAGGAACTGGTACCCGAAGAGCGCGTCGTCCTTCCAGGAGTCCCGGACCCACCCTGAGGGCGTCGGGGCAGCGGCGTGAGCGGCAGCTCTGGGGGCCGCTCAGCTCCCCTCTGCTCCCACCCCGGGCTGAACTCCGGAGCCGGAGTTGCGGGAACTGACCGGCCAGCACGGTGCTCCCGCGTGGGAAGGTCTTTTGGTAGTCCTCCAGGCTTTGCACGCGACTTACAAAATCTAGGCTCCCCTTAATGGCGAAGTCCTTCAGCCTGCGCAGGAACAGTGCGCAAGGTGGTCAAGATGACCACGGTGATGGACAGAGACGGCCAGAACCCAGCCAAGAACTCACACTCTGGCCAGAGAGAGGGAGAAATCGAAATCCTTGTCTTCCATGAACCTCTGGTTCCTGGGGAGGTCATTCCGCGTGCTCCCCGCAATGGGCAGGATCAGCCCCTCCTTCCAGGAGCCCCACCTGGGGGGGAGCAGAGCCGGGGTGAGGCGTGGGCGGGGCTGGGGCGAGCAGAGCCCCCCGACTCACCGGCACAGCCTCCTCCGCTCCTCCAGCTCCTGCTCCCGGAACCTCTTAAACAGGCTCTGAGCGTCGTGGCTCACCGTCAGGGCTGCGAGGGGCGGACGTGGTCCTCCCAGGACCCCGCCCCTCCGCTCCTCCTTCTCCCCTCCGCTCCTGCCCTCGCTCCTCCTCCCCGCCCGCCCGACGCCCTCCGTCCCCGGCGGCGCTCACCGGTGCCCTCGGGCAGGCAGACGGTCTCGCTGCCCTGCAGCCAGCTGTAGCAGGGGAAGTAGGCCTCGCCCTGGGTCCCGGGGCCCTGCACCGTGACCCACTTGCAGAACCAGTCGGAATCCAACAGGCCTCTGTGCTTGCGCAGCTTCACCACGAGGAGGCGCCCGAGATGCAAGGGGCCCTCCACCTCCAGCTCCACCCTCTGTGGGAGAGGGCCCTCAGCGGCCTGGGGTCCCCGGCCCGCCTGCGCCCCTGCCCGCCTGCGTCGACGTGCCTGTAGACACGACCGTGTGACAGCCTCTCGGCTAGTGACGGTTCGGCAGGGCCCAGCCCTCCGTGAGTGGCATCCCCCGGGGAGATGGCCCTGGCTGAGTGAGAAATCGGGAGGGTGGGCCCAAGGTGGAGCAGGCCAGAAAGACAGCAGCCTCCTCGCCATCCCCTGCCCAGCGCCTCCCCACACCGCCGTCCACTCGGCTGTCCGGCCTCCCCCGATGACAGGCTGTCATGTGTAAGACAGAGCTTCTCCCGCCAGGCCGCCCTGGGCAGCGGTTTTAGATCGGCAACAGAAAAGCAAATTAAGGCCCAGACAAACTGTGCCGCACGCCTGGGATCCCAGCACTGGCAGGTGGAGCTCTGTGAGTTCGAGGCCAGCCTGGTCTACAAAGTGAGTCCAGGACAGCCAGGGCTACACAGAGACATCCCAGTGTCAGCAGAAACTCCTCTCAGGAACGCAGGAACCCGCCCCCTCCCCCATTTGAAAGTGTGGAACTCCACGAGTGTTCCTGACCCTCCTGCTCACTCCTTTACCTTCATCGGAGTGAGGCTGTTAATGTCAGGATCATTTCTATCATTTGTTATTTATTTGGGGGAGGGATGTACATTCCCCAGTGTGTGTGTGTGTGTGTGTGTGTGTGTGTGTGTGTGTGTGTGTGTGT